TTTTCCAATGTTTTCACATTAAATCTATTCATCAGCTTCAGACCTATCCAGAAATATTAAGTTTTTAATATTTTCTAAATCTTTATGTTTTTACATCATTTTTGTCAAAAAAAAAACAACTTTTTTTTAAGGCGAAAAACCGACAATATGTATTTTTTATTTTTATTTTTTTTAAATCTGTAAAGTAGAATATTTTTGACGTGTGTGTTTTAGCCTTGATTAGGTAGAAAATTAATAGTAACTTTGATTTTCACGCATCATTATTTTTGGATTAATAAGAGTTAAAAGCAAAAACTGACACTCTTATCCTTGGTGAACCAAAATGGTGATGATCTTGAAAAGATGCGACACCTTTTAAACACGTACCATCAAGACGTCCATTTTGGACAGGCAAGAATCCCCAAGAGTTAAAAAAGATTTGGTGCGTTCTGGTTTGTTTGGCAGTAGAAGTAAAGTTGTGTCATTTCTCCCTCCTTAGTCGTTCTTCGGGCCTTCAGACTGTATGAGGACGGATATTGTGAGGAGCTGGCGGTGATGTCATTCTTGGCATGCGGCAGCCCAGACTCTAAGAGACCATGACACTTTGCCAATATTCCCACTCTGCCCACCTCTCCTCTCTTTACCAACCCCCTTTCTCCATCTCTATGCTTCTCCTCTCTTTCAGGGTGGTCAGTCAAGCCCGTCGGTCTGTGTGTTTTCTCTCGCTGCGGCTCAAATTATTTACTGTTCCTTCAAAGCTTAAAATAAAACCGGAGGAATTCATGAAGTCATGGTTTCTTTAACTTGGTGGGTATAATAAATAAAACATGAGTTGTCGGGCCTGACATCACTTTATGTGCTTAGCATATTAGGAATATGGAACAAACCATACAAAGCTACTTTTATTTTGAAAAACATGCATCACAGTTACGTTGGAACTAATCACACCTGGTGCAGGTTCACATAATAAAGATCAAATAGCAGTAATACAATGAATAAAAAAATAGGCTTTATTTTAATGATTAACTCATAAACTTTAATCTGAAAGGCTGACAACCATCTTTCATAACTATTTTAGCTTGTTTATTTAAATATGAACACAGAACATACATATACATGTACATGTAAATACATGTAAATTCACTTACATGTATTTACATATACAAAAATGTAAAACATTTACAAAAAGCATTCTTAGCTGATAAAGCAGAAACTAGAAATGGAATAATGCTTTTTTAAAATTTAATTACATTTTTATTTATCAAAAATTAAGCCAGATTTTGGATAGTATTTGTAGGTTTTATTTTTAAGGGCCAACATAATTTTCCGTCACTGGTTTAGTTTTATTAATTGTGCAGTATCTCTTTGACATTTTGGGGCTTTTATTTTGAAGAATGTATTTGCGCTTTAGTTCAACAGGCAAAACTTTTACTTTAAATTTACATATGAATAATCTAAACTACAACATTTTATGGTTTTTATATGTAAACGCCTATTTAAGATTTATTTTGAAAGGCCAGCATATGCGTTCCCTTCCTTTATTCTGAAGAACTTAAAAAAAAAAAAGTAAAGCATTACTGCAAAACAATGACATCATTCTGGTGTAATAATAGAGATTTGGAGAATAGCTGAGCTTTGGTGCATGATGAGTATAAAGATGTGAGCATGATGCTGTGGCTGTGTGGATGTTTGGCGTCAGCAGCAACAGACACTGAGGGACAAACATTTTAAGACGAAAGGGGCCCGGACTCAGAGGATCGGGGGGATGTTCAGTCACTCTGAAACTGGAAAACTTCTGATTTTTTTCTCCATCCATAAAGATGAACTTCCTGAAACGGCAGACCGCTCATTCGACAGCGGTTATTGCTCTCCTGTCTTTCCCTCGTCTCCCTCGTTTTCTTTCTGTTTTGGGAGTGATAATGAGTCTTTTGTTCAACCAGGTGGAAATTTCTCCACCAATGACAGTAAAAGTTAGTAAAGTGCTTGACAGTGTTTTAGGCTGAGAGTCCTGTCCTGATTTATGAGCCAATGGCTTACGTAGGGCTTTGGCAGAGCCTGGCTTCGTGATTTAATGTAAAGGAACAGTTATCTAAATCTGCTCACTGTTTTAAAATGTAAATCTTTTTTAAAGGATTTAGTCAGACGTTGAATAGATTTCCGGTGTGTCTTGTAATTAATTGTGATTTTTGTGTGCGTCTTCCAGTTCAAAAAACGATCATTATGGCGGCCGAGTGTATTGTTAAAGCGCAACTATATACATCCACATGCATGTAGAGCAATTTATCATGACAGCCATCAAATACTCCAAATAACACATGTATGTGATATGTAATATCCACACTGGTGTTGAGTTATCTTTGGAGATGTATCGTAAGTGAAGCACATCACTATAGCAACTAGAAGTAAAGGAAAAAATTAAAGTCTTAATGTTTGAACAGAACTCAACAGAAAGTCTACCAAGTGATCGTCAGGCGAAACACAGTAGCTATGTATAAAAATAGATCGCAGCTGCAGAATAAACTGCAACTCCCCCACTCAGCTCCTTCAGACTAGCCAGCAGCAATTAGCAAACACCTGGTGGGACTGAGCATCAGCTGAGCAAATTATAGAAGCTACTTCTGAGTGAAATTCTGGTAAAAACGTTGCTAAAGGGTTAATAGAGGAGCCATGTTGTGTTGACTTCCTGAAGGCGGAGTTTCAGAAAGAGCAGGAACTTCTTAAAGAGACGGTGTTTCTTTGGAAAGGGGGTTAGCTTCCAGAAGCTAGTGCTGTCTGGTGGGCCATGGCAACCCGTCCCAAACCCAACCTCCCTTGGGGGGGGGGGGAGAAGAGTAATAAGCTGAAATCAGAAACACATGTAAACCGGAGTAGAATAGTGAAAACGTTGCACATTTCTCTTTAATTTTTGTTTGACTTTTGTGACACCTTGTTATTTTTACATCATTTTGAAGAAATTAATTAATCAGACGGTGAAGACTACTTCGCCCCCAACCAACCATTACTCAGCTGAACTAAGTAACCTGTTGACACTACCAACAAGCACACTGACTCAGCAGGGTCTCAGTATGCTATTATCTTTTATTTTCCTGGAGAGGCCGACAGCTAGCCGTTACTGACATAGCAGAGCTTTAGCTGGCTTAGCAGCTTAGTGTTTTAAATCACAGGACCAGGATTAGCGTCAGGAGCGTCGGCTTCCTGCTGCTGTTGTAAATCAGCCACAGCCCCAAGAATCTGGTTGCTTTTGTTACTTGCGCAGGAGATAAATAGACAATAATCAGACGAGAGGCAATCACGGCGGACGGATGTGGTGTTTATGGTTTCAGCTGAGCAGCTGCAGCAGACCGGGGATGTGAGACGTGTGAAAGTGATATATGTATATGAGAAACATCCAGAAACATTTATGTAACACTAATTACTTTTCTGTGAGTGCCCCTCATGGTCGTCTTGGCTTGTGACTCATTCAGCACTTCTAGATTAAAAAACAACAAAACAACCAGCTGGACTTTTAGATTTGACTCGCTCTCCTCTAGAAACGGGCCACCAAAATGAAAATGGAGACGTTCACGTCTGTATTAGCGCCTTTAATTTTCCGAGCCACTTCACCCAGTTTTATCTCTAAGCGCACACAATATTAGCCGTCCGAGCAGAGGAATGAGCTCACATTAGGCAAATGAGTTTGGGAACAGGATAATAAGTTTTTCATGTCAGCCCCAAGTCAACCTCTGTTGGTCTGATGGGTGTAAAAGGCCATCAGTTCACCTCCAATGACTCACAGATTGGTTAACTTAACTTCACTTTTATGCGATTTGACCTTAGTGAACATAAACTGCTAAAGCAAGAGGACACCCAGAAGGGCCCTTTGGGATATTTGATTTTGTTTTAGGTGAAGATCTCTGTATCCGTGCTTCACAACGTGACTGTCGATTGGGTAAAGATAACAGACGTTGTTTTTCATTTATTTCTTACCTTCCATTTTATACCTGAAAAAATTATTTTATTGCTAGAGGTAATATTTACAGGGTGTCTGTGTATCCTTAAAAGGTCTTAAATTGATGTATCTAAAATAAAGTCCTTAAAATGTATTAAATTCTTTTTTTGGAAAAAAAAAAAAAAGTAAGTTGGCCTTAAACATTAAAAATAGGTCTCAAATTTTGGCGTTGCATGATTAATCTTGTATATTCCAAGCAGTTTTTTTTCTCACTAAACTTTTCTGTCAGGCAAAAATTTGAGTTAATTGCAGACATAGTCATTCCATTCGGTAGTTGAGGCTACTGCTAACTAGCTAGCTAGCTAGCTTTTTGTGTCTATCAAGAATAAGTTTGAATGTATTATCAGTTGGCTGGACGATGTTCGTTTTCAGCACTGGCTCATTTCTGTGGTCGACCCATAACGAGGCTCGGTGCATTTGGTTAAAAACAAAAACAACTTTTGAGCTTTGTATTCTGGGGGAGAGCTAAGCCCATATGCAGTGTGAGAGGTACAAAGAGAAATACAGCAGGATTCCTCAATCATCCTTAGGTTTTTATAGTCTTAATTTAATTTGGTATTAAAAAGGTCCTAAAAAGTGTTAAATTTGATTTGCTGAAACCTGCAGATATTCTGAATTTAGTACATCACATCAGGGTTACCACTGCAACCATTTCTGTCAGCACAGTAACTCATCAGGGTTTGAACTGAAGTGTTTTAAATGACTGGCATCGTGTGATTTTATGTGACCACAATTTATGTTGACAATTTTCTGACAGTCATTTTTTGTGTGGACAGCTTGTAAAACTCTATTATCCTTCATTTACATTATTTTTGTTAATTCAATCACTATGTTTGTCCACAAAGTTTGCCAAAGCTGCACACATTTTACTTTGGGATCAATAAAGTATCTGTCTGTCTGTCATTGTCACACAATGGCTCAGTGAAAAGAGAGCTTATTGGTTGCTGCAGCACATTTGGTGTTATCCAAACGATCAACAAGTCATATCAAAACAGCGCTAATGTTAGCCTAGCATTTCAGCACAGTGTCTCACATGAAAAGCTGCACGTCCATTCATCCATTTGATCCAGTCTTCCACTTCTCTGAGATCCGGTCGCTGGGGGCAACAGTCCTGCAGGGAGGCATCTTGATCAGCTGTATGTTTGGTCAAATATTTCTTACACAGCGTTGATTTTATTCATGCCTCCGACCCGCAAAAAAGTAATAAGAACTGATTCTGGGAACAAAAAAATTCTGATCTAGACTTCTCAAATTTAGCGCACATATTGATTTTTGTTAGATGAGTTAAATCTCAGTTAAATCTGCTATATTTCAAGATGTATTAAGTTTCTTATGACATCACGCGTTACTTTCTGACACCCCAAACGAGAGGCTTCCTCTTGCAACCGGAAAGTCATCATATCCTAAAAATGCATTTACTTCCAGGCAGCTGAGATCATTTATTTGAATGAATCTTTGCTCCTGACCTCCGCGAAACACATTTATCAGCAAATTGAACGAGTCATTATTTTAGCTGTAACATATAACCTTTCCAATATTCCTGATTGTGCAACTCCAACGCTAACACCGAAGCAGCCGCGCAGGTTTTGACCTTGTGCTGACATTGGTGTCACTTTAGTGAAATGAGATGCATCGTTAACCGCCGTTGTTTCACATTTAAAAACAACCTTCCTGTTGTTATTAAGCTTTTGCATTTTAATCTGGAATTTGCTAGATCATCCGTTTTTTTTGTCTCAGTCAGTCAAACCTCGATGAACATCTCAACTCTGCCCTACATGGTAGTACTCTGGTGACACTGGATTTAGCATCTGGATGAATTTCTTTAACCTGAGGTCTTAAAATTCCTTGAACCATGCGCCCCGCTGCTCTCGTTTTGGAGCGCGTTATCTGGAGCAGCGCAGCGGCCGGGCCTCCTTCAGCCAGCGTCCCTTTTCAGCTCCGTTTTTTTTTTTTTTTTAACCAAGCGTTCTCGTTTTTGGAGTTCAGACGTGGGTATTTATATCAAACGGGTCAGCTGAGGAAGAGCCAAAATGAGCACAAACACCCAGCTCCGTCTGACGAACGACCTTCTTCCTCTGGGCCTGGCCGCGATGCGAGAGGGGCTGAGAGCGACGCCAGGAAGACAGCGAAGAGTTCAGCTCACAGCCGCTGACAGAAGCGGGGCAGATCCTATCCAGAATCATGCGCACCACCAAAGTTATTGTTATAAGACAGACGGAGCTTTCCACAATCGGAATATTTTTTCACCTCAACATGTTCTTCTCGATTTAACATCAATATAGTGTAGGACTGATTATTTTGATTATTTTCTTGGATAAACCAGTTAATAAGTGGATAGCAAAAGGAGCATATTTATTTTACAGAATTTGAACTGGTTGAAGCTAAAAATGTCACCTGAGGAGATCTGGGTAAAATATATCTACAGATCTTTGTACAGTTTTATCTTAATTACTGCTACGAATATACTATTGCTCTTTCAGCAAATGGCCTTTTTTTAGAGTGTATCCCCCGTTACCGATTAATCGTATTAATTGCAATTAATCTTCAACTAATTCAGTAATAATTCAGTAATAATTACCATCACAACAGTTAGTTCAGAAAGCCAAGGCTTCTAAGACATGTTAGATGTTAAAGGTACTTCTTGGAATTTGGTGATGATTCTGACGTTGAGCTCTTGGTTTGAAGGTTGCGTGATCTAAACTTGGAGAGAAATTGTTGTGGTGTCTACTTCTGCGAAGATTTGCACCAGTTTTAAATATTTTCCAACTGTAAATTATTCATTTATTGGCAGAACGACGGGCCACAAATAAGTTGGAATAATGGCCTTATGATGCTTTTTTTTAATCGATGGACGGCAACAATTGCATTGCTGAAGCCTTTGTACATTGTGTTAACATGCAAAGTACTAAAACTCCAGTTTTTAAGTAGAATTGAAAAGTACTTAATTAATCCCACAGTGAGGAAATTCAGTTGTTACAGCACAGTAACTGAATATACCCCATTGAATATAATGAAATATATATAAAAAGCAATATTAATAAAGTGTCTACAGATAAATTAAACTGTTAAATTTCAGGATCTTAGAATATATAATAAATACAGAATTAGACATGGTCCGCACCTGCTGATGGTCAATTAATTGCATGAAAACATTTTCAGCAGTAGAATTTTCACAAACCTCACTTACTATTTTAAAAAAATTATTTCTTAAGAAAAACGTTTTTAAAAATGGCTTAAAAATACGGGACCGTTATTATTTAACTTAACTTTATTATTATTATTATTATTATTATTTATTTATTTATTTATTTATTTATTTATTTATTTATTTATTTATTTTATCATTTCAGTTCAAAGCGCAGCTGTTTTGCCCCTCTGTCAGACCGGTTACTGAGAAATCAAAATGTCCTTTTTGAATTCCTCTTTCATTATTCAACTACATAAAAAATGTGTTGGCGCATTCATTTTAAGTGGAAGTGAATATAAACCTGATGTGAGAGATCCGAAGCCGGCAGTGATGCCGACAGTCAGTCCCCTCCGGTGGCCACGGCTGGTGGAAACCGCAGCGTTTCAGACAGAGCGCCATTGTTGCTGTCGTATCCTCTTGTACCAGTCAGCGAGCAGCCGCACAGTAGGAGCTAATGCGGTCTCTTCTCCCTCAGTTCACCTGAGAAAAGCACATCAGGGAGTCAGAGGGCCATTCTGTCACACGGGTAAAATGAATTGATCCTCACATAGCTGGGGGACGCGTAAAGATTAACTTTTTCTTCAGGTTTTCTAGTCTTTGTTGTCTAAATCAGTGTTTTTCAAAGTGGGAGCCAGCAGGGGGCGATAGGAGGGGCTCAGAATGTCGGAGAGAAGAGAAAGAAAAATGCACAAATAAAAATATTGACTAGTAGTATTTTTTTAATAATATATATTTTAATTATATTTTTTAATCATAAAACACTCTGTTTTCCAATCATTACTATAAAATATAATTTATTTACCAAGCTCGTCTTTCTGATTGACTGCCAGTAAAATTGATCAAGCTGCTCTGCTCGTCAAGCTAGCATTACAAGCACAACCATAGCACAGCTAGCAAGAAAAAGACGGAAGGAACTGTCCAGCAGCCCTGCTGTGGAGGACTCTGTTGAAGGAAACCTAAGAACTCACCGGAAACTAAAACCGGAAAGTATGATGCAGCATTTATGTTTTACTTTTTTATTTATTTATTTATTTTTATAACTATTGTATAGTAAAAAAACGTAAGAAAAGACACATTCTTGGGTTTTTGCTAAGGGGGTCCCTGGCCTATACACAGGCCAGCAGATTAAGTCTTTTTTTATGGCAGATGGTTTTAAAGTGTATTTAAATGGGATTTTGTATGACAGACAAACGCAAAGTGATTATCATCTGCTAATCTGCAACTTATTGAGACACTCATAAGCCACAGACGGTAATTGATTGAGAGTAAAATAATTTCTTTCATGGATGAAATAACTTCTGAAAAGCTTCAGTGAGCCCCAAACTGCTGATAGTCCTCAGTTTTTCAAAAGACTGACTTTTTATTTTCTCAGGCTGTCATCATTAGTTATAGCTCTTTGGAAATGCCAAATCGATCCAAAGTGCTGAAAAATCAATTTTAAAATACGTTTAAATTGTATGCATTTTGAAAAATGCTTTCATAACTTTTTTATTTACCCATCCTGTGGTCTTAAGAGACAGGTCTATTGGATCCTGCAAGCTTTTTACCACTGAACTGCACTTTTTTTGTTGGCTCTATTTGCCTTTATTTGAAAGTAGTTTGACAGGAAAGAGGGGGAAGACATGCAGCAAATGTCACCAGGCTGGGAATCAAACCTGCGACCACTGGCATGAGAACTAAGGCCTACAAGGGTTGCTTTGCCCTTGCACCACCACAGCACCCCCTGAACTGCACTTTTACAAGGTTTTTTTGTGTGTGTTATTTTGGAAACTGACGGTCTGATGGGACACTCCCCCCCACGTCGCCCGCTGTCCTACTGTCAGATTTGCTGTGCTTCTCTCTAGCATCATGCTAAGACCGCAGGAGGGTTAAGAAAATTCCAGGCAGCTAGTTTAGCTTAATGCTTAATGTTACAGAATTTGATGCACAAACCTATTTTTGCTCAAACTGATTGAATTTGATACAGTCTGTGGAACATTATGGAATTGTTTTAAAAAACTGTTCTATTTGTTTTCACTGTCTTTTCCTCTTATCAGTCACATAAGACGGTTTGAACAGAATTTCTGAATTGGAAATCATTTCTGTTTTGAATAGCTAAACACTGAAAGACTTGCATCTCTAATTATATGCAGTTCAACTGGATGCAAAGTGTGTAAATGTCTTCCTGGTTTGAGGCAACCAACCAGTGACCTCTTTCCTGCTTCTTTTCTAGCACTGAGGCACAAGTGGGTTGATTGCCTCTTTATAGGGATTGCCCCACATAAGGTGGAGATGCCAGTACAGTAAATCTTCCTCACACTCATGTCTGGATGTGCTCCAACAGGAAGTCCACACACCACACAGGCTAAGGTCTGGCAACCTGCCAGTCAGATTGTTCGCCATCAGGCTTGAGCTGCTTCCGGTCTACCACCCTGAAACAATAACGGCATGTTTTGCTTCTCATCTTACAGGAGAGAGGACTCTGCACCATAAAAGCGATGTCCTAGAGATCGTGGTGCTTGTGAACCCATCAGACGACACCGTTGTATCAGAGGTGAGGTGGACGCTTCCTGACGACGAAGCAGTTTTAGAACAAAACCAAGCACTTCTAATTTTCTTGACACTTCTGCTAGATCTCATTAATTCTGACACGTTTATCGTGCCGCTCCTCCTTTAACCGTCCTCACTGTCGCTTTCTCTCCGTTTCCTTCTCTTCGCCCCAGATCCAGTCTCTTGTGACAGATTCTGCAGGACACAAGCTGCTGGTCTTGAGCGGCCAGAGCTCGGATCACGGTGGCCTTCTTCTCCAGACCGGATTTTTCACCCATCAGACCTTTTCACAGATCTTTGCTGATCCTGCAGTGAGTCTCTGTTGCAGAGATTGCACCATTTTTATGACCGTCAAGGTGTTTTTGGGAGATTTTATGCAATAGGCCCACTCAAAGTTGTACAACTTTTAGAAATGGAAGTAATAGCAAGTCCATGGTAACGGGGCTGAAACGTTTTTAGTCTTTTTTTTAAAGGCCAGTAGCTGAAAGAACATATTCAGAGCAGTAATTAAGTAAAAACTTTAAAAAACTACAATGAACTTTGTAAATACATTCTGCCCAAACCTACTCAAGTGGCACAATTTAAGTTTCACCTGGTTCAAATTCTGTAAAAAAAAAAATATATATATATATTTCTTATGTTTTTCAATCAATAATCAGTTAATCCAACACAGTCAAGAGATTAGCCCTACATTGTATTGATGACCTTGCTACTACTGTATTTCACATGCACTCAGCATTGAAATACAGTAGTGACAGCATAATGCTATGGGGAGGTTCTTCTTGATGGCGCAAATCATCTGCAGAAAACTAATGGATGAAGCTAAAAACAGAGCGAACCTGGAAGGAAACTTTCCCCTGTTGCTCCTCTGCGTTGCCATGGTGACACCACCACATTTAATTGACTCCTTCTGAGGGACACTGGCTGAATGGAGAAAAGGAGCAAGCAAACTCAACAGAAGCCAAACCTATCATTATTCTTTCTGGATGGTGAGACGTTATATTCTACACCAACGCAAGGACAGATTCATTCAGCACCAACTATCAGCTGAATGAACGCAATCCATCTTAAATTAAATATTTGATTTGTGAAATATGACCAGGACAGGTGTCCCAGGATGGAAAAAAAAAAAACTCTGGCTACCAGTTACAACACAAATAAAAGGTCTCAGCTTTGGCAAACTGAAAGATATTTAGTCATATGCAAAAGTATTCACATTGTCATATTATAGCAGAATCAATTCTACCACACATTATCCTGAACACATCATCCTCACGCAGCAAGGAGGTGGCAACACCACGCTGTTTGGGATGACATAACAATGGAATGGTTTAAGTTATAGTATGCTCATGTAATAAAAAGACTGACTCCAAGTCCAGACCTAAATCCTTTAGATAAGGAATCTGTGTGCAGATTTGAATACTGGTACTCCTAGACCCTGTATAAGACTGCAACAGGAAAAATGTTCATTCATTAAGAATAGACAGATCAGACTCACAATTCAAGCGATGTGCAAGTGCGTCGGATCACTTTTAAAAAAAAATGTACATCATGTGTACTTGTATTTAACATTTAAAAAGACAGACTATTTAGAATACAGTACATCAGTGCAGAAAAACAGCTGTGCAATAACAGCAAAAATGTTATTTAGAAAATAGGTAAGAACAGAGTAGGTGATTGTGAAAACGCCAGCATGTGTAAATACTTACTGAGTTTGTTGGGAGGAGTGATGGTTATAGAGTCCGACAGCTGCTGGGAGGAAGGACCTGCGGTAACGCTCCTTTGTGCATTTAGGATGCAACAGTCTGTCAGTAATTTTCCATGTTAATGTATGCCAACACTGACTACGATATGCTCTGGTGTCTTTTCTGCAGGTCAGTGAATTGCTGGGAACAGCAGCCCCCAAGCAGCAGGCAACACTCACCGTGTCCTGCCGTGGGGAGGTGGGCTGGAGCTCCGTGGGACAGCAGCAGACCCTGCGGGAGTTCCTGGAGTACAAGCTAAACCCAGAGCTTGTTCTCCCCAAGATGGAGGGTGTCACAGAGTTCACAGAGTATGTCTCTGAAACCGTAGACGTCCCCTCGCCTTTCGACCTGCTGGAGCCCCCCACTTCCGGAGGCTTCCTGAAACTGTCGAAGCCATGTTGCTACATCTTTCCCGGAGGACGAGGAGACTCGGCGCTCTTTGCCGTGAACGGCTTCAACATCCTAGTTGACGGAGGCTCCGAGAGGAAATCCTGCTTCTGGAAACTGGTCCGTCACCTGGACCGCATCGACTCGATTCTGCTCACCCACATCGGCGCCGACAACCTCCCGGGTATCAACGGGCTTCTTCAGAGGAAGATTGCAGAACAGGAGGAGGAGCAGTCACAAGGCTCCACAAACTACAGCGACTGGATGAAAAACCTGATTTCTCCAGAGCTTGGCGTAGTCTTCTTCAACGTGCCAGAGAAGCTCCGTTTACCAGAGTCTAATCTCAAAGTGAAACGCAGCATTGAAGAGGCCTCGCTTACTCTGCAGCACCTTAGTAAACTAGGAATCAAGCCAGAGCCCCTGTATCGAGTGGTCAGCAACACCATCGAGCCCATTACACTTTTTCATAAGATGGGAGTTGGGAGGTTAGATATGTATATTCTTAACCCAGTAAAAGATAGCAAAGAGATGCAATTTTTAATGCAGAAGTGGGCTGGCAATAGCAAGGCCAAAACTGGCATTGTGCTGCCCAGTGGGAAGGAAGGAGAAATATCTGTGCCCTACTTGACATCAGTTACAGCCTTAGTTGTGTGGCTACCTGCCAACCCTACAGAAAAGATCATCAGAGTGCTGTTCCCTGGGAATGCACCGCAAAACAAGATCTTAGAGGGACTGGAAAAACTAAAACATCTCGACTACTTGAGGTATCCTGTAGCCACCCAAAAGGACATTGCTTCAGGAGCTCCTCCATCGGTTATTAAGCAAACCAAGTTAAAACAAAGAACGGATAGCAAAGAAAGTCTCAAATCCTCCCCTAAGACCACAGCAAAGACCTCAAAGAAAGAAGCTGATGGACAGGACGATGTGTCAAACGCAACAGAAGCAAAAAGTGACT